GTTTATATTTTTGGAAATAACCAAGATTTGATGAACTTAAATTGAGCAGCAAATTAATGTAATAAGAAATGAGTGTGTTAATACTGTGGTCTAACAACTGAGCTATGTTAAAATTTCAATTATGTACACATTAATTATTCCTAACAATATTTTAGAAAGTGGTGAGTGGTCAATATAACTGTTAACATAGAGAGATAACATCATTAGAGAGCTGGTGATAATGACTGTATCAATCAGAGAAATAAGCAGGTAAATAACATCCCATTCTCTTGATCCATCCTGCCACTCTGGTTCTGCTACAATAACAATCATCCTCCATACCACAAAGCCTTAAAAGAACAAAATTTTTGTTTCTTGAGTATCTGTCAGTCATTCAAAAGAGTCGTCTTCCTTGTCTATTTTCCAAAGAGTGTCTCATTGGCTCATATAACTTGTACTATATTGGGAAACTTTCTGAAACATACAGCTTCTAAGATTTTCATAGAAGCTTGAAAGATTTGTATGGGTAAATTTTAAAGACAGAGTGGAAGTAAGCTACAATTAATTTCTTCCCCTTGTTATTGGCTAGAATTCAGTCATATAGTCTCAGCCTGAGTGTAGGTTGAATGCAGGAAATATAGTTGATTTGCATAATTAAGAAGAGGGAAAGCTTTAACATAGTGTTGTTTCTGTCTAACCAACCAATGATACTGAGCAATTGACTTAAAAACATTACACACATTTAAGGAATCTAGACATAGTATTGAATTCTAACATTTAAGATGGCTCTTAATCAGGTTGTGTGCAGAATATAATGTCTTTACTTTTCAAAAGGTAAAAGTATATTGCAAAAGCAGGTAGAATGTAAATAAGTTCCATGAAATCAATCTTCTTATCTGTCTTATTAATCATAAGAACCCTCAACTACTATTTGGTACATAATGCTTAATAAATATTTTGTATTTTCAAGAGAATTAACTCACTTATTGATTACACATGAAAAAGGATGACACACAAGCTTCACCAACATCAATCACTTTTCTGGTATCATTATCAATCTACAGTTATTGTATATGATTCATCATTTGTATAATCAAATAATTCCATTAATTGTCTTGGCTGATCTTTTTTGAAGGTGAATTTCAGAAAGTCACAATAATTGTCAGTTCAACTATACTTAGGTTTCTGAAGACAATGGCTTCTCCACCCAAGCAGGTTGCAAATAAATTTCAAATAGAACCAACATCATTCTTGCTACAGTTTGGGTCTTCAGTGTCTCCCAAATGTCCATGTTTTAAAGGCATGCTCCCCAAAGCACCACAACTAGGATGTGGTGAAACTTGAAGGAGTTGTCTGCTACAAGTTATTCTCACCACTGTCAAGAGGTATTGTGAGACTAAAATCTCTCCCCCTTTCTACCCTCTCATGTACTGGTCATGAAGTATATGGTCTTCTCATGTGCAGCTACAATGTTTTCTGCCTCACCACAGGCCCCAAAGCAACAAGACCAGCAAATCATGAACATAAACCACCAAAAGTGTGAGACAAAATAATCCTTTCCTCTTTATAAGCTGGTTATCTCAAGTACTGTTTTATTTTTTTACAGTCAACACAACTCTGAAGATGTTCTAACTTCACACTTTTGGGTCCATTTAAAAATCTGGCTTCAAAGCAGACTAACTTTATACAGTATATTTTAAAAATGACACATTTGTTCAGCATAGTGATCAGATTATTATAATTAGCAGTCAATAGCATGGGTACAAAAAAATCTGCATTAAAACTTTTTGTTGGAATACACTGCACTACACTTTCCATGGAACAGAAACTGAAATAATGTGTGATACAATTAGTTAAAAGTACAGTACTCGAGTTTTTGTCTGTATTCATAAGTACTGTCTAAAACCTGCCTTTTTGCAGGATCTAGGTCCTGCCAACTTTGTGCTTGGTTGAGTTCACAAATCTGTAGTAATCTGTACTTCCATATAACTTCTTTTGCTCTCCTCTCTTAATATTCATTGTCTCCTGGAAGTAATTAAAACGTTTTGCCACTGCCATAGCTACTGCTATTTCTTGAACCATTGTAGCTACTTCAATATTGTGGTTTGACAAAGTATTGGATTCCACCGCCACAGGAACCAGAGTTTCTGCACCCACAGTTTCCTCCCTTCATCAGTCCAAAATTTGAAAAGTAATTGTTGTAACTGTCCAAATTACGTAGCTTCCACCACATCAAAAATTGCTTCCAATTCATCAACAAAGCTTGCTTCCAGCTCCACCCTTGTTAATGCTGTCATAGCTGACACTTCCACCAGAGCCATGACCTGGTTCCCATAACCTGCCCACCATTTCCATCTGCTTCCTACAGACTAACCAGGATTCTTGCTTCCAAAACCAGTATCATTGTCAATTCCTTTGTAGCCATCCCTACTGCCACCATATCTACCTTAACATCTGCCACAAATGTCACCATGAAGTTTTCTCCACATCATTTTTGTCATTGCCACCAAAATTACTTATACAACTACCACCAAAACAACAGTTTCCAAAACCACCTCAACCTTTGTAGCTAGATGAATCACTAACCATCTCTTGTTTGAACAGGGCCTTTCCTAATTTCACAGCATGGTCATAAATATAATGGTATTTGTTAATGACAGTCTTTTCTGCTGCATCATAATCACTAAATGTTACAAAAACAAAGTCTTGCCACTGTCACTGTCCATCATGAATTTGATTGCTTCAGTTTCCCCATAGTGTTCAAAATAATTTCTTAGGTGACGTGCTTCAGTGTCTCCTTTAATGTCACCAACAAAGATCTTCACAGTTCAATGGGTACCTGGTTTCTATGAATATTCTTTTGAATATCCATCTTTGACTCTGCAACTCTTATGTCCACCTGCATTTACCTACTCCACAGTGCCCTAAGTGACAAAATCAAAGCCCTGGAATGCTTAGTGTTTAGATCGCTGATTATGACACAGTCCATGAGTGTCCCAATTATTTAGAATGGCTGCATAGACTCTCTTCAGATATTCCAATACTTGATGCTCCAATGAAGATCTTCTACAGCTTTTTGGACTCCTTAGGAAATCCTGATGTAGACATGATGGCAGAGGGAAGTTAGATTTTATAATGATTCTTCAGTCACATCCATGGGCAGAAGAAATAGATATTTCATAAATGGATGAAGACAAATGATAGATATTGAGTTTCTTTTACTTGGCCTTGCACTCTAGTTCTTAAAGTATAGCTGACTTTCAGAGACTTGGTGGGAGAATGGTGAAATTCTATGAGTTCATTTCATTTTCAATTATTTATATATTTTTATTGCAAAAGAAGAAATAAGTGAATGGTTAAGATTTTTGCTTCCTAGGTATCTAGTTTACTAAAAATAAAATTCCTACAGACACACACACACACAAACATACAATGCCAAATGTTCATGCGCTTTACAGTTTTTCTGGGTACAGTCAATTACACAAACAATATTTTCTCTAGTGGAATTTATATTCTAATTGGAGATACAGGAAAATATGAAGATATATTGAGAAATTATTTGTTATGCAGTAACCTTGCAAAATGAGCAGAAAGACATACCAGAATTTGTTTGTGATATTAGTTCTTATGGCATTCCACACACACAAAAGAGGAAAGTGATTGAGGTCTCTAGGGAGGGCTATGTAAGACTCACAGGCAGGTTTTCACTGGCTTGAGAGAAGAAAAGATTTGAAGAAATAGAGTTATGCATGTAGACAGGAAAAGATTTGAAGAGGTAGAGTTTTGCATGTGGACAGGTCTTGCATCTTGAAATTCTCACTGGTGCCAAGGGAGGAAATCCTCAAGTTTTTTTTTTTTTCCCAGTCAGACTGTTCAGATGTGGAGCATGAAGGGAAGAGGGAGGAGCAGTGAAGCTTAAACCTGTCAGTTGTTGCACATCAAAAAATGGGATCAGAGTCCTCTTCCCATTCATGTAACATTGTGGCCTACACTAAGGAGCTAGACATAGTAAGGCAGGGACATGAGTAGTTTGGAGAAAATTTTAACTTAGATCAAGAGACCAGGAAAGTACTGACTAGTGCCATACAGCATCGATTCCTCGTCTCCTGAGCATTGCCTCCCTATCTGTCTAACACAAAGCACTCAGAAGTCATTGAAGTGGTATTTTAGGGACCAATTTAAGTGCTGTTTTGGGTCAAAAAGCAGTTAAGAATGACTGATCTTGCTAAGCTCTCTAATTCCAACTTTAGAATTAACTCTTCAAGCAACTGATAAGAAATCCAATCTTTTGAAAAAATTCAAGAGTTTTCTAGCAGAAACCATCTTGATGACTTCCTCTAAGTAGCTAAGAGTTGACTTTGAGAAAGAACTGGAAGTTAATTCTCATCCTTCTGCCTATCTTGTCAAAGAATTACACCTTTAAGCCCATCGTTGCGCCTGGGTACCCAAACACCACCATGTAGAGCAGAGCTCAGGTATCAATCCACAGGGATGAGCTATATATGTAAATCAAGGACCAAAAATTGTCCAAGTTGTCACATGATTCTACTAAATTAAATGGCGATAATATTGTTAACAAAATAATTTAAAATCTACAAAGAGTGAACAGCCTATGTCAACATATTAGCTTTCTAAGGTAACACCCACGCACAGGAAATCAAAGTGAGTCAATGCCCTGTATAGCTATCCTTATCTCAACCAGCAAAACCCCTTGTTCCTTCCTATTATTGCTTATACTCTCTCTACAACAAAATTAGAGATAAGGGCAAAATAGTTTCTGCTGGGTATTGAGGGGGGGAGCGGGAGGGGGTGGAGTGGGTGGTAAAGGGAGGGGGTGGGGGCAGGGGGGAAAAATGAACCAAGCCTTGTATGCACATATGAATAATAAAAGAAAAATGAAAAAAAAAAAAAAACTAATTGCCATCAGACATAGTGTCGGGTGCCCGGAAGTTTGCGGATTGCGCCTCTGCACCTGGTTGGTTGGTGGGTCGACCCAAGGCGGACGCGAGCTGAGAGGACCAAAATGGCTGTGCAGGTGGTGCAGGCGGTTCATCTCGCGTCCGATGCTTTCTTGATGTGTCTCAACCACGCTCTGAGCACAGAAAAGGAAGAGGTAATGGGTCTATGTATAGGGGAGTTGAAGGATGGCACCAGAAGTGACTCCGAAATTGCGTGGACTGGAGCTGAATTGCTCACAGTTGATGAAAAGGTTGACACTGTCAGAATTGTTCACATCCATTCTGTCATCATCTTACAGCGTTCTGATAAGAGGAAGGATCGAGTAGAGATTTCTCCGGAGCAGCTGTCTGCAGCCTCCACAAAGGCAGAGAGTATGGCTGAACTAACAGGACGCCCCCTGAGAGTCGTGGGCTGGTATCATTCTCATCCTCATATAACTGTTTGGCCTTCACACATTGATCTTCGCACGCAAGCCATGTACCAGAAGATGGATCCAGGCTTTGTAGGACTTATTTTTTCCTGTTTTGTTGAGGATAAAAACACAAATACCAGCCGGGTCCTCTACACTTGCTTTCAATCCATACAAGCCCAAAAGAACTCAGAGTATAGGAGAAATGAAATCCCAATTCATATAGTACCTCATGTCTCCATTGGGAATCTGTGCCTTGAATCAGCAATAGAACTGCCCAAGATCCTGTGCCAGGAAGAACAAGATGTGTATAGGAGGATTCACAGCCTTACACATCTGGACTCAGTAACCAAGATCCATAATGGCTCAGTGTTTACGAAGAATCTGTGCAATCAGATATCAGTAGTCAGTGGGCCTCTCCTACAGTGGTTGGAAGACAGATTGGAGCAAAACCAACAGCATTTGCAGGTGTTGCAACGCGAAAAGGAAGATCTTATGGAAAAACTTTCTTCCCTAAAATAGAGACAAAAATGGGACAGAAGAAAATACTCAGCATAAAATTATTTATGTTAAATCAATTTTGAGGAGAAATTTTGTGTTGCCACAAAAAATTTCATAGCAGCTATACTTGTAATAACCAAAAAAAAAAATGGAAATACTCCAGATGTCTTACAACAGATAAATCATTGCACAGGTCATCCTTAACGTGGACTGCTACTCTGAACGGAAAGGAGCAGAGCATTCATACATACAATTTAGATGGACCTTGGGGTATTATGGTAAATAAAACTTAAAATCTCAAAAGGTCAGATATTATGTGATTGAATTTATATAACATTGAAATGTCAAAATCATAGGAGTGAAGAGTAGATTAATGGTTGGCAGGGACACGGACTGGGTGGGGTGTGGGGTGTGGTATATGTGTAACTATTTGAATGACATGAGGCGTTCTTCTGTACTTATGGAACAGTTCTGTATCTTGATTGTAGTGTTGAGTGTGTGAATCTATACCTCTGTTAAAATTGTATACATCTATATATACTCAAATACATGAAAAATATGGCAAAAAAGTATGCTTAGCAGTAAAAGTAAATAAAGAAATTGCACTAACTGATAGGCTCAAAACATCAAAAATTTATTATAATACATTTCTGGATATCAGATTGTCTAAAATGGGTTTCTCTGGACTACAATGTCAGTGTGGGCAAGACTGTGCTCCTTTCTGGAGGTTCTAACAGAAAAGTTATTTCATTATGCAGATAGCTGGCAGAATTTACTTCCTGTGGTTTTAGGAATGATGTCTGCATTTCCTTCTTGACTGTCAGGTAAGGCAGGTTCCTAGTTTCTAGAAATTGTCTGCATTACTTTATTCAATTTAAAGCAAGCAATGGTGGATTGAAGTCCTCTCACATTTTTTACCACTCCTATCTTTTTTTCCTGTGGTCACATCTCTCTGACCACAGCTGAGAAAGGAACTTTTTTTTTAAGGATTTATGTTATTACGTTGGTCTCATCTGGATAATCCATGATAACCTCCCAAGTCTAAACCTTAATCACAATTTTAAAAGTCTCCTTTGCAGGCCTAGCCTAAGATTGGCTCAGATCTGTAGTCGATTGCACCTACTCAGGAGGCAGAGATCTAAAGAGAATGAGGTTTGAGGTCAGCCTAGGCAAAAAAGAAAAATAATGAGACTCCATTTCAACACACAAGCCAGCCATGGTGATGGACACCTTATTCTCAGCTGTGCAGAAGGTATAAGTGGGATGATTGTGGCCTGCTGTTGATTCTGGGAACTATTGTGTGATCCTATCTGAAAAATAAAGTTAAAAGAGCTGTGGGTGTGGCTTAAGTGATAGATGCCTGCCTAGCAAGCACAGGTCCTGACTTCAAACCCCAGTACTACAAAAAAGAAAAACAAAGCTTCCTTTGCTATGTAAAGTAACATATACCCAGATTGTAGGGATCGGGGGCAGGGGGGGTGTGTGAAATTTTTGCAAGGCTGTTTTTCTGCCTTATATACAATTACAAAGTCCATTCTAACTGGTGCAGATGTGATGAAGTTCTATCCCATGCTAACTTATAAGATACTTCATAATTTATTATTACTATTATTATTGTGCTGTTGTTTGGAACATTGGTGAGTAAAACTTGAAGAAAAAAGCTAACTATTTCTAGCGCTATAGAAGGAAGAGAATAAATGGACTCTAGTGATAGTACTCCAAATTTCTGGATGAGAACAGAATAAGTAATCACAATTAAAGGATGTTCAGTGTTTATGTACTTCCAAATAATACCTTGCATGTAATTCCTTCCTTCCTTCCTTCCTTCCTTCCTTCCTTCCTTCCTTCCTTCCTTCCTTCCTTCCTTTCTTCTACAGAAGTTGTGATTAAAGGAAACATGATTGAGTCCCTGTGGTCCTAAGGTCTTTGATTTTAAATCTGTAACCCCATAGATGAATGACTGTAAAGATAGTAATCTTATTTTTGGTGATACTGGAGCTTGAACTCATGGGACTTACACTTGCTAGGCAGATACTCTACCACTACATCCACTCCACCAGCCCTGTTTCGTTTGGTATTTTTTTCAAATAGGGTCTCACAAACAATTTGCCTGGGCCTGCTTAGAACCATGATCCTCCTGATCTCTGCCTCCTGAGTAGATAGGATTATAAACATGAGCCACTGGTACCCAACAAAGATAATCTTCATTTACATTTATGCTTCTAAACACCTTCACTTATATTGTCACATTTTTTTCTCAAAAAGAGAAGTATTTGAGGCAAGAGTTATTATCTTTTAAGACAGGTAGAAGAGTCTCTAATTGGGTGAAGAAACTGATCTGCTTAGTGACAGTGAGCCATCTTGTATTAAGAAGGAAAATCATTCAATGCCTACCTTATGCCAGACCTTGTTTGAGGCCTTGATTTGATTTGATTTGATTTCAGAAGTAGGTGTAGTATTATTTACTCACTATAAACATGGGAACTGAGGCAAAAAGTGATTAAATAACTTTGCTAAGATGATGTAGCTAGATGGAGGTAGGGCTAGAACTTGAACTCTGGTCATCTGCTTTCTTCATTGAAATGTTGTTAATTCCTACTCAAGTTTTCTTTCCAGAAAGCACTAATTTCTTGTGGTCTTTATTTCTTTCTTCCCTGTGCAGACACAAAGAGGGAGAATGTATACATCACTCCTCTGCTAGCCATCTGTTCCTTACCAAGTCATGTTATGGGAGTGAAAAGATAAGTGAGAATCTGACTTGTCACACAGGTTACTTCTACTAATCTTCTACTATCAGTTAACATCTTTATTTTAGGTTTCTTTCCCAAAATGACTGCATGGAGTACCTGTAAGAATGATATCCTCCTGACTTTGTAACCACTCTGGGTTGACTGATAACAAATCTTTAAGGGCCATATGGTGGTAAAATCCTTCGAAGTATACATAAACTGTAAAAACAGATTTAGGAGTGTATTCTACCATCAATATGCCAGCCTTGACATGAATAACTGCCATTAGCATTAAAAAGAATTTCCAGGTTAATTCTCCCAGGAGAAAAGATCCAAGCCCTGTCATCTATCTCACAGACATACTAAATTATTTCATATGGAGCATGTGGACTTGCCCAAATCAAATACCCAAATGGAGGCAGTAGAGTTTTAGTGGCAGTGGTTTGTAAGGAGGGGCAAAAGTTATTCACAACCATTTAACAAATTAATGGTCCAATAGAACCAGAATCTGTTCCTTCCTTATGAATGGAGATAGTGTTAACTATTCTTTCAGTTGCATGCAAAGAAATTGGAGGACACCTGAGTGCAAATTCTGCTTTGTTGCAGAGATTTTTGGAGACTTATGAAATGCCTCAGATGGAAAGCACTTCATTTTTGAATATGCAGTTTTTTATTCACACCTTTCCCAAATAAAGAATCCTAAACCTGGCATTTGTCCTTGTCTCTGCTATTTATCTTGTAGTCTACTTGACATAAGTAAAATTCAGTTAGAGTCAGACACACAGCTAATGCATTCAGAGTACAGAAGCTAAGCTCCCACAAAGAAAGGGAAATAAAATGGCTTTCAAGGTCCTTTTTAGGAATCTGACATCCTCTTTGACAAGAGTGACAGACCAGTTGCCAAAAATATAGAAGCTGTAAAAAAATCCATAAAATTGACAGGATGCAATTCAAGCATATCAATAAATATTAGATAAAATAATTTGTCTCTAAGGTCAATATTCCCTAAGATCATGCTTTCTTCTCCCTAGTTACATTTTTTTCATATTTCCCTTTTATGTCCATTTGGATGTTGAGAATTACATTTTTCTCATACTGGCAAAATTGGGCCTGTCCTATGATCAGTCACTCAGTCAAGGGCAAACTGACAGAGAACCTATATAAGAAGATTGGAGTGGTATTAAATGTTTCAGTGTATTTGATAATTAGTAATCAGTCCCCTTCTCTACCTTCTATCCCCTAACTCAAGACTCCAGTCCCCAAATATTTTCATGAAACTAAAATTGCTACAAGTCTTATACTAACTTTATTAATTAGAAACATATTAAGATTAGACTTAAAGAAAATTAGATTTATAGACATACCCAGGAGGCAGCTTCTTTTGGCTTGATGATGTCCAAGTCTGCCTATTGCAACTTTTATTAAGGTAGCATGAAGACTGCTTTGGTTCAAAGCAACTTTTCCCATTTAAGGCAGGTAGAAGAAGGAATAATTTTTTATTAACCATAATTACCTGACAAACTTTTGAATAAATCTCATTCCCTTCTTCTAATTTCCTGAAGTATTAATCTTGATTTTGTTATAATAAGTCTAAAAATACACTCTTTTTTTTTTGAAATTGATCTCACAACTCTAATAATATCTTAAAGCACATCTACACATGGAAGATCAATTAAATAGAAGCTTTCTCAGATTCAATCAACAAAAAACGTGAAAACAGTGAAAGAGTCAGGGAAATTGTGATGTTGCTGGCTTTGAAGATGGTAGATAAAGGGAGCCATGAGCCAAGGAGGGCATCTAAAAGCTAGAAAAGGTAAGATAATGGTTTCTTCCTTAGAGCCTTCAGGAAAGATTGCAAAACTTTTGACACATTGAGCTTTACCCAGTGACATACATGTTGGATGTCTACTCTATTGTGTTGTTTTTAAACAATAGGATTGTAGAAATGTGTTATAGCAGCACAATAGAAACTAAGAAAGATTTTGGTAACTGAAAGTGAAATACTGATGAAATAAAGTCCTAAAACTGCAGAAGTGGCTTGGGAATTGATTATGTCAGGGGGTAGAATAATTTCGTATAATATGATGGAAAAATCTTTATATTGCCTTGCACAGATAATTAGCAGATATATAATATATTATAATATATACTAATATGCTGTTATATTTGAATAATACTCATGCATAATACATATTGTTTAATATTAATAATATTTTAATATAATATAAAAATTTACTATATAAGAGTATATATTGGATAATATGTAATAGTATTTTGTTAACATTACACTAT